ATAGAGAGGGTTTGGGGGGCAGTGAGGTGGTCTGTATGGGGGGAATGGGGAAAGATGTGGAGAGGGTTTGGGGGACAGTCAGGAGGTCTATAGAGAGGGTTTGGGGGGCAGTGAGGTGGTCTGTATGGGGGGAATGGGGAAAGATGTGGAAAGGGTTTGGGGGACAGTCAGGAGCTCTATGGAGAGATATTGGGAAGCAGTGAAGAGTTCTGTACTGGAGGGAATGGGGAGGGCTATAGAGAGGGTTTGGGGGGCAGTGAGGTGGTCTGTATGGGGGGAATGGGGAAAGATGTGGAGAGGGGTTACAGTCAGGAGGTCTATAGAGAGGGTTTGGGGGGCAGTGAGATGGTCTGTACTGGGGGGAATGGGGAAAGATGTCGAGAGGGTTTGGGGGACAGTGAGGAGCTCTATAGAGAGGCTTTGGGGGCAGTGAAGAGTTCTGCACTGGGGGGAATGGGGAGTGCTATAAGGGTTTGGGGGGCAATGAAGAGCTCTGTATTGGGGTGAATGGGAGGGATTGAGGAGCCCCATAGTGGGGTGAATGGGGGAAGTGGGGTGCATTGTAGGGAGTTTTTTTGGGGGGCAGTGGGGAGCTCTGTCCTGGGGTACAGAAACAGTTCTAGGGTGCCCTGTAGAGAGGTTTTTGGAGACTGAGGTGCCCTGGGCTCCCCCAGATATATGTGGATGTCCTTTTGCTTGGAATCTGCAAGAAATGGGAAAAGCAAAGCGGTTGGAAAAGGCAGAGGGACCAAGGAGAGGGTGAAAGGTGGATGCTCACCCTGGGATTGGTGTTGGGGGAATTCTGGTGGCCAGGGATGAGCTCCAGAGGGAATGAGGGAGAAGATGAGCTGGGAGAAGGATTTGTGGCCAGAGCTGTGGGAAACACTATGGGAAAAGCCTTGAGAGGTGCCTGGGATGTGAGTGGAGGCAGCAGGAAAATCCCAGAGGATGTCCAACAGGTTGGCTCAGTGCTGCTGCTCTGCTCCAGAGAGAGCTGAGTGCTTCCCTTCTGGTTTTTCCCTGAGTTAGGCTCTTCTTCCCAAAGCTGGGATGCTCCAACTCATCTCCCTGAAGGGAGAGACTAGAATTCCCTAGGCATCCCTTGTTTTCTTCTCACTATTGAATGGCATTTTTAGGGAATGCTCCACCTGCACTTGAACTCAGTGGGGCTGGGAAAGAGGAATAGGGAATTCCACAAGGATCTCTTCCAGGAGGAGATAGTATCGGCATGGAAGAGGTTCTCCATGCTGTGCTCCTTGCTCCATCCATCCTCATGGGAATGGATTGTTCAGGAATCCAAGTCAGCTCCAGAATGGGAGTGTATGTGTGTGGATTTTGGGAGGTGTTGAACTGTTGTCTCATTGACAGCAGTGACACCAGCAACAAACCTCCTGTGTGTGAGGGCAAGGAGGCCTTTCCCAGGAATTCTTTCCCATCTGGATAAGGGAATGCTCCCAGGGAGGCTTCTGCCTGCAGGAGGGAATAGTTCTGGTGTAAAAAGTGCAGATTTGGGCTGTGGTGATGCTGCTGGTGATCATGGGCTAGTGCTGGGAATGGTTGGAAAACTCATTCCAGAGCCAGGAAAACTGGGATCAACACTAAATAGATCCAAGAAGAGCTGCTTGGCTTTGTTGGCATCATGGATCACCCCAAACTTAGCTGAGCAAGGACAAGAATGAAGGAACTCATTGGAAAACCAAACCTTCTGTTGGGTTTACTCTTGGACAATAGCAGACCTCTAAATACATCCCTGTGTCTTGGTTTTCCTTAATTCCCTACTCCAGAATGCCCTTCTTCCAGTGGGAAGCCCAACCACGCAGACATCCTGCTTGTAAACTTACAGTATGTGTCAGAAGTGGAAATAATCAACGACCGCACGGAAACGCCTCCACCGTTAGCCTCCCTCAACGTCAGCAAGGTGAGGGTTGGGCTGCAGGGATCCCCTGGGCTGGGAATTGCACTTTTCCCAAAGGGATCTGCAGGGATCTGACACTGGAGCTCATCTGTTTCCAGCACAGCTTCCTGCAGATATGGTGTGGGGTTTGGATTTTGAGGGTTTGGGGATGGATTTTGGTGGGTTCTGGGGCTGGAGATTGATTTGGGAGTTTGGGTATGGAATTTAGTGATTTGGGCCTGGATTTTGGGTGGGTTTGGGGTCTGGATGTTGGCATTTTGGGCCTGGATTTTGGCAGGTTTGGGGCTTGGATCTTGGTAGGTTTGGGGCCTGGATTTTGGTGGGTTTGTAGGTTTTGGGGTCTGAATTTGGAGGGCTTTGGCTCTGGATTTTGGTAGGGTTTGGGCCTGGATTTTGGGTGAGTTTAGAGTCTGAATGATTGTATTTTGGGTATGGATTTGGATGAGTTTGGAGCCTGGAATTTGGTGGTTTGGGCCTGGATTTTGGAGATTTAGGGTCTGGATTTTTGCAGGTGTTTAGGACATTTTGGGTTTGGATGAAACTCTTTGAGGTGTGTTGAGTCTTCATGACCTGCTCTGGGCTTGACATACTGTGGCTGACCCTTTCCCTTGGGATTGCTCCATGGTGAAGCTGAGCTCCTGGGAGAGGGAATTCCCATCTCCAGCTCATCCAAGAGAATCCTCCTGAGGAACTGAATGCTCCTTTGGGCTGGGGAGCTGCTCCCTGGACACCTGCACACCCTCTGCTCCATATTTACACCATGTTTACTCCAGCATGGATCTGCCAGGTGGAATTAAGCACCTGGATGTCCTCCCATTACATGAGTGCAGGTTGCTGCCTGGAATTCTGGCCAGGAATTCCAGTGTTGGGATCTCTGGAGTGGCTTTTGGTAAGGTTAAGGCTATAAGCCTGTTTCCACTTGGGCAAAGTCCAACGGTTGTGATCCTTTCTGGCTCCATGGCAGCTCTGGAACCTTTGGAAGAGGGAATGATGAGAAGGGAGAATGGATCTGGTTTCAAGGAAGGGGAAGGGATTCTCGAGCCCGTGGGGGCTCGAGCCCATGGGACAGGGAGGGAAGTTGTCACCTCCTTGTCCTATGGGAACACCTCTCCCAGTACTTTGTGTCACACATGGCACCAGCAGTGGACACCCAGGGAGGTGCCATGGGAGATGTTGGGAACTTTGGGGACACCACTTGTCCTCTGAGGGGTTGGCACCTTCAAGCAGGGCACCCATCAGCATTCCAGGGAGATTCTGGAGGGATCTCCACGATCCCTCAGACTGTGCTTGGATCTCCACACCAGTCTCCTGGCCCCCAGTGGGATGGGGGTCATCCTGGCATTGGGAGGGCCCTGGCATGGCCCTTGGTGGTGGCCCTGGCATGGCCCTTGGTGGCCTTCACTGTCTCTTCTTGCTTCCTGCTGCGTATTCCACCATTCATCTGGAGCTGAGCAGGGAAGTGACTCATCCATTCATGCTGCCTGCACAAGGTGTGTGTGTCCCTGTCCCAGGCTCTTCAGCAGCTCTGGAGGTGTTCACTGCAGGGGGAATGGTGGAATTCCTTGGAATGTTTGAATCCAGGAGGTTCAAATGTCTGAGCTGTTTGTTGTCAGGAATGTCAGTGCTGGATAGGGAAAACACAGCCTATTGCAGGGGAATGATGGGCACAGGGATCCCAAGGGAAATGCTGGGATGGTACTGGGAGCTCTTCATCCACACCTCTCCAGGATTTCCTGAATTTTCCCGGTGGCTGTCTCCTCTCAGGATTGTTCCCAGCCCTGGATGTGTCTTCATTTGCACATCTGGATGCAGCAGCTGCTGGATGAGCATCTCAAGACCTGGGAAAGCCAGAGGTTTTGGAGAAATGGATCTAAAACTCAGGCTGGAGAAGGGGGGGATCTGATCTAACTGGGAAAGTGGGATCTACTGGCTGGGAAGGGAATCTGCTCAGAGCAACTGTACTGGACACAGTAGAAGCAATTCCCAGTACTCTTGTGCTAGGATTCCAGCCCATCCCAGTGTGGTGTGAGGATGCTTTGGAGCAGGTGATGGAGCCAGTGGTGAACCTGGTTTTCCAGCCTTGAAGTAGCACCCCTGGTTGGGTGAGGGGTCATGGTATCCCCAGGGAATGTTGGGGGATGGTGTGGGGTGCAGGAAAGTTCCTGTGGAATGTCATGCCCAGTGGTCTTGGGAGAGAGCAGTTCCCACATGGAATGGGGCAGGTGGTTTTGGAGGGGTTTGTGCTGGGGATGAGGAAGGGTCCTGTCCCTGTTGAGGCTTTCCTTGCTCCCTGGAAGGCTGGGAAGCACTTAGGGAGCATCCCAATGCTCCTGCAGTGATTCTGCTCCCTAGGGCACTGAGAGGGACACAGCAGGGACATGGGATGGATGGACAGGGACACTTGTCCCTTAGGGGCACAGAGGTGTCCCCAGTCAGTGGGAGCTCAGGCTTTCCTTATCCAGAGGGGATTTGGAAGGGATGAAACCATCCTCACACAGCAGGAGGAAGCTGGTCCAGCTTGGGAAGTGCCTGCAGGAGTGAGGAGGTTCCAGGAGGAGGAAGAGGAGGGACAATGCTAATGTGGCTCTTCCCCTGCGGCAGCTCCAGCCGGGAAAAGGCAGCTGGTCCAGGTCTCCTGCCTCCAGGCACTGCATCCTTCTCCTCCCACATCCCTGGGATTTAGCACAGGGCATTTCAGGGTTGGGATTTCCCCTCTCTATTCCCGGACCCTGTGGGTAATCACACTTCCCCACACATGGATACAGCTCCCAAATAACCAATTCTGCTGATTTATTTTATTTTGGAACAGAAGAGCTGCTGTGGGATCAAATTGCTCATACTCCTGTATGGAACATTTATTCCCAATGTATTGGTTATTCCAGGCTCCTCTTCCCTATCTCCATCCCCTCAGTAAACCAAGTAGTGAAGGTGCTTTGGACCTAAAATGCTGGAATTAACTCAGAAAAGGCTGAGGGGAAGGGCCCAGGAGGATGTAGAAAGGTGACATCCACATTCCCAAATATTGAGGGGACACTGGCAGTGGTGATAATGCCTCAAAAAAGGAATTAAGGCTGGAATGTGTGTGCAGAAGGGATGGTGGGAGAGTGGGGAATGCCATGCTTGGTGTTATCCTGATTTAATGATGAGTGGCAGAGCCGTGTCCCTGTGTCCCCTTGGAGTTCCAAGGTGAGATCCAGCAGAATTCCTATTCCCTTTGTTTCCCTTCCAGCTTGCCAACAAAGCACGGACGGAGAAGGAGGAGAAGATGAGCCAGGCATATGCAATTAGTGCTGGTGTCTCCCTGGAGGGGCAGCAGCTCTTCCAGACTATCCATAAGACGTAAGTCCCATCCCTTGAGATCATCTGTCCTATCCCTTGGGATCGCCTGTCCTTTCCTTGGGATCACTGGTGCCTCCTGTGCTCTCTTTAAGGGCCTTCTTGGGGGGATTCACATCTCCACATCCCTTGGGTTTCTCATGGAATGCTCTGATGTGGCCTGGGATGTGCTGGCTGAAGTTCTTAGGGAGGGAGGAATGCTCCATGCCTGCTCCCATCCCCTTCCTGGCACATCCCATCCCTGTGGGCTCCCACCCCTCTCCAGTTGGGTATTCCAGAGTGCTGAGGGATGGAGAGCCACAGGACCACACTGAGGGGCAGGTGGTGGCATTCCAAGGTCAGATTACATTCCCTAATCCCATTTTCCCTTCCTTTTCCCTTCCCTGCAGCATTAAAGACTGTAAATGGCAGGAGAAGAACATAGTTGTGATGGAAGAAGTCGTTATTGCTCCTCCCTACCAGGTGGAAAACTGTAAAGGCAAAGAGGGAAGTGCCCTGAGTCACGTACGGAAAATAGTGAGTGCCACTGGGATACTGGGAATGCTGGGAGGGTGGCACATCCCTGAGGACACCTGTGAGCCCTCCTTGGGTGTGCTCCAGCCCTTCCTGGAGATCCTTAGCCCTTCCTGAAGATCTCCAGCCTCTCCTGCAGATCCCCTTCCCATCCCAGATCCCCTTCCCACCCCTTTTTGAATCTGATTAGGGACTGGGAATACTGGGAAGGTGTCCCATACCTGAGGACATCAGTGAGCCGTCCTTGGGTGTGCTCCAGCCCTTCCTGGAGATCCTTAGCCCTTCCTGAAGATCTCCAGCC